TTAAGGATGTTCGACACCCTTTTAGCCAAAATTGACGTTGTTTTCATTTTTCTGGCAAATTATCGATGGGAGTGACGTGAAAAAATATAACGATTTTGTGGTTTGTCATTCTTTAATGGCTCACGAAGTTGCGTAGTGGTGCGATAATTTTCATGCGTTTTTTCTACAGTTTTGTGATTCTTTTTAAAAGTTTAGAGAAAACGCAGGAAAATGTTCGCACCACCTTGAAATTTCGTCAGTCATTAAATAAAGACAAAACGCAAAAACGTTATATTTTTTCACGTCAATTCCATCATAGGTTTGCCAGAAAAATAAAAAAAACGTGAATTTTGGCAGAAAGGGTGTAGAACATCCTTAATGTTCTCATCTGGTTGTGAATATGGATTCTAAATAATTCTAAATTCTAAATGACTCAATTTATTGCATTCTGATAAGTTATCGAGTTTTTCAATAACTATTTGAATCAAATCAGAACTGATTTCTTAATTAATCGTTTGAATAAAATAAGAAGTGATTTCCCAAAATTTCCATTGTTTAGATTTAAACATCGCATTTGAAAATTTAAAGCTGATCAAATTCTCGTGTCACAAGAATTTAACTACTGATTGTCAGCCAAATTCTCGGGCATTGGATGATCTGAAGCATTTTTATGTCGCATAAATAATTTATTTGCCACTGCATATATTCAATTCACGAGCCAGAAAGCGCTGAATGCTATCCTCTTTAAAACAATAACACTCAAATAGTTATTTAAATGACTGTTTCGACTAATAATTTCTCACCTTAAACAGCATGGAATTATTCAATACAATTGACCCATACAATTGAATTTTCACCGTCTGCTGAAGACACTCGAGGGAGAGTATTTTAACTACATCGCCGGGGCACTGCGGTCTGCGCATCACCCACATCGTGTGAAGATAATTGCCAATTCTATTGGCCTAGACAGAAAATAAAATATTGTAACTCTGTGCCGTCCAGATATATCCAGTGAGACCTGCAGAGGCATGAAATACCGTTTGACTCATGGTTTCGCAAACGTCGATAATGCACAGCGTTTGAATCAAGCGTATGATCAGCCAGCCGAGAACAATTGACATGGAAGAATTGGCGTTCCAGTGACAATAATTACCGTTGCTGATATAAATTAATAGCATGTATATGTTGACGATCAACTGGGTGAATTGCATCATGAGGGCTATTAACAGTGGCAATGCGAATAAATTGTTCATCAGGGTAACTAGGTTTCGCAGATTTCTGTGCAATTTTCCAAATGCTCGCAAACGATCGGCTGTCGCTATTGGATTTGATCTGCAATTCATTAGAAAATAAATAACGGGAAATGAAAATGATGGGATTTAGTCGTTAATTCGGTTCTTGATTATTTGATTGACATAAATCAACGGATACTCATGTTTTAATCTCATTTGTATTCTTTTCTCAATGAAAAATTGAACAAAATTTTTCTGATAATACTCTTTATCGAATATTTATATTTAATGTTGAAAAAATCAGTTTTATTGTGGGTTTTTTAATTGAAAATGTCCAATAGAAACTATTTCAGAGAACAAATTAATAGAATTTCATCTTTCTATACAATTTGTCTATTTAGTTTCCAAATGTTTCTCCTTTCCATTTTTATTGGAAAAAAACACGTGGATAAGCTCAGGAATTTTTCAATAGAATCGGCCAAAAGCTATAAAAATCCAATAGAATCGCCTAGCGAATTCACTAGGTTTTTATTGTAATTTTTATTGTAATTATTATTTAATTTTCAGTTATTATCATTATTATTTAATTATTAGTTTTTAAAAATGAATACAAATCAGGAAAATCCAGGCATATGTACTCTTGAATCCTCAATGAATTCAAAAATTTTGAATTACATTTCCAGTGGAGTTTGCAATGTAATCGTCTTTCTCCCTAAACTCAATTGAATTCAACTTTTTTTCTAACAGGGGAGAGTGGGGTAATATGGACACTTAACATTTTTCATGTTAATTATTCATTGAACGGTTGACGAAGCGGGATATTTTTTCCCCGCAAAGTTTTTCCTCAAAAATTTACTTGACTTATCAATTATTTCAATAAAAGTCAACTGTCCATTTTGCCGCACCCCCGGCAGTAAACTAGGATATTAAAAAATAAAAATCCATTACACGTTCTTCCCGAAATTCCTCTCGCCGGGTGCCTCCTCGAGGGAAAAATTGTTGGGAAAATTCTCAATCCTCAAATTAATGAACTGAAATCTCGTCTGAATAGTCTTCAACGCGTAAAGATAAATTCCCACCATGTTGATACTGACGCATCGCGGGAGATTGAACGGCAGCCACACACCAAACTCGAACTCTTTGATATGATACAGCAACGCGTGATCGACGACGTAAAGAACGAAGAAGAATAAATTCAGCGATATAACGAAAATGCGAAGGTTCATCGTGAAATCATCGTAGCACTCTGTCATTCCGAGGAGCACGACTTCGCGCTTGGTGGTTATAAAATGCTTTAGGATGCATCTCAACTCGTTCTGATAAACTAGCGCGTAAAACCAAACGACCATGATAACCCAGTAGTCGAGTCCGAGCCCTATAAAATCCATCACCACTAGCATATTCGTTTCACGTGGCAGCATGATGGAGATCCGGGATACCACGACACGACAGTAGCAGAGGGTGTACCCTACTATCAAAATTGTTGAGTAGAGGCTGGCGGTTTTTGATCTGCGGATTATGTCGATTTTATCGAGAGTGAACGGACACATGCCGATTAATTTCAGAAAAAGGAACATTGATTTTGACACGGGGGACTTGGGCTTTTGTGTTGTTTTGTTTTGGGGACACATATTGGAAAGTTTGAGAACGTTTGAGGGAGAAATACAGGGAAACGGTGGGGTTGTGATGAAAAAGTAATTTTGCAAATTGATGTTGAGGGCGAACAGTGACAAATCCGTGAACATTAAGGCTTTCATCGTCGATTTATTGCTTGTTGAGGGATGGCGGGGGCTTTAAGGGGGTGGGAGGATGTGGGAATTATCAGTCAAATCGAAATTGTCATTTTTGAAAGACGGCAGCGAAGCGGTAACACGGTTTCAGTCGTTTTTAACTATTGGCTCGTTTTCAATAAATATTTTGGAATGTAACGAAGATTTTCAATAAATATTTCGGAATCTAAGGGAGATAGCGAAATTTTTGTTATAACACTTTTTGTAGCTCTCAATTTACTGGAGAAAAAAGGTCTTTACAAAAATTTCGGTATCTTCTTTAGATTCGGAGATATTTATCGAAAACTCAGCTAAGAGCTTGGACGACTTAAATCGTTTTATCGCTCGGCTATTGAAGAATTGAAGTGTTTCCTAGAGTCTTTTCTACATTTTTAAGAAGGACCCTTGAATTTCACAAATTATCATGTTGCAGTGAAGTTTTTACTTGGAATATTGGCATTTTTAATAGCCTATTTGCATTTTTCACTAGGATTTTTGGTGAAAATTCCAGATAGGCCAACAAAACGAGTCAATTTTGCAACAGAATAAATGAATTATCTCTTGAATGAAATATTTTAGGGAAAAATGGCGAGAGACATCACCACAAGTTTTCATTCAAAACATTTAAATTTTTGGTAAACTCATTGTATTTTTTATCACAATTTTATTCAAATTAGTTTTTTAAAATTTTATGAAAAATTCATGAAAAGTCAACAGAACAAGTACATTTCTCACTTTCGTTGACTCGATTAATCACTTTCTCTTCAATATCGAGAGATATTCTTTATTAAATATCTCCAGAAATAGAATGAGTTTTAATAATACAGATGTACCCGTTTATTCATCGAATTATCGTATTGAATAGTCACAGAACTTTAACTTTGTTAAAATCGAATTGTACAAATTGATATTGCAATTCTCAATTCTCATAATTAATTTGTTACTAGTTAAGGCACGATAGTGGAGAGTTCAAAGAGTTGACTGTGAGGATCCTCAGTCGAGTTGTAACCGTAATGCTCAGAAGTATTGCGGTCACCCATTGAAGACCCTAAAGGGAATCCTGGTAATTGTTGCAGCCTGAATTCCAGTTGCTCTCGAAACTCGCGACCATGCTCCTCAAGTTGTATCATTATCACGAGCGATCCGACTACTATGTTGGCCAGCTGGAGACGAAATTGGAAATTCAGAAACTTAATTACCCCCTTCGTTACTTCATTTTTAATTACTCGATAGATCAGCGGAAAGTTCAAGCGGATTAATCCGTGGAGACTGATGACTGTTTTCTTCTGGAGGAGACGCATCGACACGGCTTCAACCTAGGTAATCACATTTAAACTGATATTTCGATTTCTAATTACAAAAATGTGAAAAATCAATAGGAAATACCAGCGAATTTGCTCGGAAATTTAATTAGTTTTTTGGAATTTTATTGGATGGATAAAAATCAATAGATTTTCATTTTCTGAAGAAGTTTTTCTAAAAAATTCCCCAAGTGTTTCTCTTTTTTATTCTTTAATGACAGAAAAACTCAAAAAAGGAAATTTTTGCCAATAATTTTTTTTAATGTAATTTTTTACTACTTTTGGCTACCCAATTACCACAATGATTTCATTTCTAACTAATAAAGTGTTTATTTGGATAAAGTAAACATGTCTTCACATTAAAAAACAATTATTAATTCATTGTGAATTGAAAAAAAAAAAATCAAGTCTGAGTTTAGTAAAAACTTTCATTCCATTAAAATTAAAATTATTAAATTCAAATGCCCGACACGGAAAAAATAAACCTGAATTGGGGGATGGGTATTTCAATTCGAAGATGATTGTTTTGTGTCAGGCCAGGTTGTAGCAAGCCCTCTCACTAATCGTCAAAGACACTAATCGTCAAAATATAAGGGTCAAAAAGTGTAGGTTAAAAAATGAGGGTCTGAATATTAGGATCAAAACATTAGGGTCAGAATATAAAAGTAAAAAAAATGGGTGTCAGGCAATGAGGGTCTAAATATAAGTCATATATTATGCTTGATCACCGTTTTTAGCCCTTATATGACCCTCACTGCCTGACACCCACTTTTTTACTTTTACATTCTGACCCTAATTTTTCGATCCCAATATTCTGACCCTCTTTTTTTAACCCTAACATTCTGACCCTCATTCTTTCACCTTTACATTCAGGCCCTCAGTTTTTGACTCTAATATTCCGACCCTCATTTTTTAACCTCCACTTTTGACCCCTATATTTTCACACTTAGTGTCTGACCCTTATATTACACTTGAGAGCGCTTGGTACAACCCGGACTGATACGGAATAATCATCCTGAATTTCATTGCCATATACGTTTAGTTAAATCTGATTTTGTTATCCCCATCATGATTACAGTTATGCTGTAATTAATTATGTATCTTAATTATAGTTTTGACGCTATAATTGGCCTTGAGCTGTTGGGTCTGAATAAAGCAATAAATAAATAAATGAATAACTAAATAAATAAATAAGTAAATAAATAAATCCTCGAATTGAAACACCCATCCCCCACTCGAGTACAAAATATACTTGAATCAAGTATATTTTATTCTTGAATCAGGTTTATGCATGTACTTGATTCTGATATAAAATATGCTCAATTCAAGAATTACAATTATCCGTTTGATTTTTTTGTTCGCACAAACGTGGATTATTCCACTTACAACAAAGCGAGTATTCCTCGGTCGATACGTTATCCACATGTAATGAAGAGCACTGCCAGTTCTATTGGCCTCTTCATCAGTTAAACTTGGTATGCTGACAATGAGGAGCATATGGACAAGATTAGCAATAACCCACGTCGAAAACGTTGTCATGGCTACAATCTCTTTGAAGGTCCACTCGGTGCTACCACTCCTCAATGTCATGGCTATCAGATACAAGCACGAGGCGCATTCCATGAAGTTCACGACTATTGCGAACAGTATTGGCACTGCAAAGATGTTTTCTACCGTGTGGAGGAGATCCTTCAAATCCTCGTGGATTTGGCCAATTGATCTTAGATATTCCCCGGCATTCTTCGGGGTTTCTAATCTTTAAACAATTTTGTTTAGTTAATCAACTCCTCGGCTTCTCATTCATCCCGTGATTTATTTTGAGATTGATCGGATAACTTCACTAAAATAACGGTCAAATTTAATAATTTCAATAAAAATTATTTAATGAAAAAGAAACTGTTCAGTTTACTTCGGCTGCTTAAATATTGAAATCCTCTTTAATATTTCTGATTACCCACTGCAGCTTCCAGTAATATTTTGCAATGATTTTTTTGTTTGAAATTGTGAATTTAAAATTGAAATATTTGAGAAATTTGAAAAAATCAAAAATTATCTGCTTGTTGAGACAATTTTGTGAAATAATTCATCAATAATCAATTTTATAAATATGAAGAATTTTACTGAACGTCGATGTTTAACCGAAATCAAAAGTTATTTATGACAGAAGAAAGTTTAAAGTAGCTCTATCCTTACGAGGTCAGTTCTCAATTAACAGATTTTCAAAAACTCAAGACGGAATCGCAATTTTTCTCACCGTTTAATTGCCGTTTTACTTTTTATGAATGAAAATGTTTAAAAACCATTATTTAACCTGGAGTAACCTAGAGTCTTATGTGAAAATCGTCAAATATTACATATTCAATTCAAAATAAAAATGATTATTAATATTATTATCAATAACAATAGGTTGACAATAATTATTAATTTCAATCATTTTTAAAATTTTATTTTTGTGAACGCAAGTGTTTTCGCAAAAATGAAAATGCCTGAAGCCTTAAGGGTAGAGTTCCCTCAACAACCAGTATTTTTTGCTAGATAATTTTAATAAGATAATTTTAATAATGCAAATATTCTCTCCGTGAAGGTATTTCCCCTCTTGAAAATAAATCACACAATACCTTGCAATATAGAACACCTGCTGTGCGAACCGCATGCTCCTCGGGTCATCCCCGAGCTCCAAATAATTATGAAAATTCTCAATGGCGTTATTAATGCACTGGAATTTGTCCCTGATCAATGAAACCCCATCAACAAACAGAACGACTGTATTCCAGAGAACCACACGGGCTGACTGATATAAAAGCTCCGAGAAACCCACCGTTCGCACCATCCAAAATATCGTGGTAATAACAAACGTGTGAATCCAGAAAAAAGAATTGACAAAAAAAGAGTGAAGGCTCATTTTCCTGAGGAAATCTCTCCCCCGCGCCTCCTCGAGGCCCATTTCCTCCAGTCGTTTGTGCAGACTCATGAAGGTTTTGATGACACTATCTATTTTTTTAACGCGAGTCGCCGAAACAATCCAAATAAACAGCAGTACTATTAATCCGGTGAAGAATCCCGTAGCTTCAGAAAGAACTACGATTAATCCATGATCATGAATCGCTCGATGAAAGTAATCGAAATTGGGAAATACATAGAGACACCCTAAACACCGCACCACAGCGATGGTAATCTCGAGGATTGAGATCTCCAGGCCCAGATTGGTCACCCTGAACGGACATAATCCAATGATCTTCCAGTAGTAGTATAAAAAAACAACTGGCAACGAATTATTTTGAGACATCTCAGTATTACGTGGCCAAGTGATGACCGGGTGACCACCAGACTGATGGGAAATTGCTGCAAGTCCTCGTCCGTGTATTTTGATTTGATAATAAAACCATTCCAATTGGGATAATTGCAACAATGCACTATCTATAATGACTCCAAGCGCAAGTATTATTGATCAGGAAAAATTGCTCTTCCAGATGTTTGTATAGACTCATAAATGTTTTTGACACAAAGAATTTTCTCCGCTCAAATTTCCCAAGTTTTTTTGTTTCATATTTTTTATGAAAAAAGAAAGAAAAATAATATGAAAAAAATTTGCAAAAATTGACTCAAGGAAATTATATAAAAAACATTTCAATAGAACATAATCATTTCAAGTTTTCTATTGAAAAAGTTGAAATGATCATTTTCTATTGAACATTTCACTAGAATCGGCCAAAAACTAATAAAAAGATCAATAGAAATCCAATGAAATTGTCTAGCGAATTCGCTAGGTTTTTTTATTAAATTTTTTCGTGAGTGAACACAATTACTGTAATCGAGATTGAGAAATACAGAAATACAAAATATCCGAAGGGAATAAGGAATTATATAAAAAAATCGACTTCTATTGACTTCTTCTATTAACTATTTTCCATCGAACATCTCAATAGAATTGGCCGAAAACTAATAAAAAGTTCAATAAAAATTCAATCGGATTGTCTAGCGAATGCGCTAGATAATTTTTCTATGAACTTTTTTAGTGCGTGAATACAATTATCATCAACTCGGAAAATAATCCCATGAAATATTCAATAAAAATGGCGTATCTTATCCGTAATTCCGGAGCGAAATGTGGTTGTGGGAAATTTTACGGAGCTGTCACGGAATTTTTCCGGAGCGTTCCATAATTTTAATCTGAATCTCCTGTGGAAAAATACGATACCGTCACTTAAATTTTCTGAGTCGATTGCATAATCGGTGAGTGAATTGTGAGTTCTGTAATTTTTACTGAACATTTCTCTCCGTGCAGGTCTAGATTAGTCGTCCTGAACGGACATAATCCAATGATTTTCCAGTAGTAGCATAAACAGACGAGAGCTGAAAAATTATTTCGAGGCATTTCCTCTGTAATGACTCCAGGCGAAAGTATTATTGATCAGGTCAAATTGCAGACTCGTGAATGCACTGGGATTATGAAAAACGGGTGAAGGGCCTGTTCCCTGTGGAGACCCCTTCTCCGCCCCTTCTCCAGGCCCATCTCTTAAATACTTTTGTGCACCATTCAAGACTCATGAATGTTGTGTTGACACCTTCTATTTTGTGATGACATTTTCTATTAAACATCGAATCCCATTCAATCCAATCAATGGAATCCACTAAACTCCACAATTGTCGAATTATTTCGAGGCATTTCGATGTAAAATTAATGAGTGATCCGGTGATGACCAGACTGAAGGAAAATTGCTGCGAGTCTTCGACCCTGCATTTTGATTTGATAAGAAAACCATTCCAATTGAGATAATTGCACTGCACTATGTATAATGACTCCGAGCGCAAGTAGTATTGATCAGGGAATTTGCAGACTCGTGGACGGACAGGGACTATCGGGGGAATTGAACGCATATTTCTATTTGTTGCGCAAATTACTGTTTGTTTTGATAATTGTAGAGTGTTTGATGAGGAAACGTTCTCCTATGTAATATTTTAAATCGAATATTCTTTTTTCATAGAAACATGAAAGGTTTATTTGAACACGTACGAAAAAACATGATAGAAAAGCAAGAGTTGTACTCATTCCATTGAAAACTTGCGGAGTTTTTCAGCAAAAAAATTATCGACTTCCTTTTTAATTTATTCTGACGAGAATAATTTTTTTTTTCAATTTTTTTTTGATTGAATTTTGGAATTAAACGAAAAAATTAAGAATTTATGCCGAGGATTTTCTATGAAAAATATTTCAATGCAAAGAGTTGTTTAAAAACACCGAAATCTATCGTTTTTTCCAATTTGTCTATTAATTCATTATTAATCTTTGAATTTTTTTCGAATCCATTAAAAAAAAAAACTAAAGCATTTGGAAAATTCATTGAATGTCTACTGCAGAATTGCGAAGGTCCTCCCGCGTTCTGTTACGAAAACCCTTCAAGCGGAAAAAATTTTGGGGAAAGAATCAATTTTTTTTTCCTATACATTTTTGTTGTTGAATTTTTTGCTTGATTTTTTAGATGAGAACGTAAGAAACAATGAAAATTTACGTCGAGGATCTTTTCTAGTAAACATCTCCAAAATACGAATAAAATAAGTTGTTTAAAAACAGAAAAGTCGATTCATTTTCCCCAATTAATCTACCGATTCATTAATCTTCTAATTTTTTTACAATTTATTCCCATATCTCCAGCAAAAACCCGAGTGTTCGGAAATTCTATCAAAAAAATCCTGAGTTCCCGCATTTCCGTTAATAAAAATTCCAACTAGAGAATATTTTTCATAAATATATATATTTTTTTCAAATTTCCGAGTTTTTTACTCAACTTTTTCTCTTCTTTTTTTTTTAATTTCCAATTTTTTTGCTCAACTTTTTTAATGAAAAAAAAACCCCTAGCGATAAAAATTGAGGCCCTTCTCTACAAAACCCCCAAAACCAAAAATCGCCGAATTTCGACAACAAAAAAATTCCCAAAAGTCAAAAATTCTCCAACCTAACATTAAAACCCCAATGTTTTCCGTCAAAAGCCTCAAAGACTGTATTCAAACATCTGCACCACCACCCCAGTCAAGTAATAAAAATTTTCCCATTAAAACTCGCAGAAACAGGTGAAGACAAGCTTTTGCGGATAATCCCCGGGGAAAACCCGGCATTGGCGCCGGATGGTATAAGCACTGTAACTTTGTTCCCTATTTTGTCTCTCCGTATAATAATCCCTGTCATAAAATTGCAAACGGCAACGCTAGCTGTTGAACGCACAGCGAAATTGAGCCAAGAGGTATTTCCGAGTATAGCGGGGGCACTTGATGCCCCCACGGGGTCACCCCCTTTTGTGCCGCTGCTGAAGGCCCAATGAGGGGGGGGGGGCACCTACACCATCCGTCGATTCCACCTTGTTCGATATGCACGCGTCTACCTGTTTTCTCCGTAAATTTTGACTAGCTTTACTACCTGTGCCAATTCTCTGTACATCACTCCTTCCCCCTCCACCGCCCCACTCCACCACTGCGGTCCGCCCACAGGGGCCTCTCGCTGACGTCATTGGGCCCAACCAACGGAGGGGCACCGAATTTCGAGTGCTGCCTTCCACTTGCGATAAATAACAGGGGTTTCTGGATTTCTGGAGCAGTCAGAAATTGAAGGCCACTCAGTCAAGTGCTCTGGGGCTCTCGGTTCACCTGACACTTCTGACTTTGTCACTAAGTGTCAGTTTGACACCCAATTTGTCACTATTCGATTTTCCTTGAGTTGAATAAGTTCTGAAGTCAGTGGTGCGGATTTTTTTTATTTCTTTGGAACTGTTGTTTGTTTACACTGTTGAGGGGAGTTTGCGTGAGGGGAGTTGAGTTCAACATGCCGAGAGACAGCAGGAAGATGAACAAGCGACGTACAGACAGAAACGTAAGTAAACAGTGTTTGTAATTTTACATTTTTTGGAATTTCTTCTCGTGTGAAAAAGCTTGACCTTTTTTTTGGTTTTTGAGATTTTTCGGGTGAAATGACAAGTGCGAAGACAATCCAATTTTCAAATGGTTTCGGTTTTTTATGTAACGCTCTTGTTCTGTAGAAATTGTTCTGCAAGTTTTTTTTTTGAATAAAGTTGAAGAAGTGGCAAAAATGTATATTTTCATTGAATTTTTCGATATTTATTCTCTTCGGAAAGAGCGTCAACATTCCTATTCTTAATTTTTTTAAACATTATTTTCAAAGTGACATGAAAAATGTAATTTGTAATGAGATTCTCGTAAAAATTCAACGGAAGTTCCTACCAGAAGAAAGAAAATACGTTTTTCAATTAAATTTTTACGCGTGTAATAAGCCCGAGTATTTAAATATTTCAAGTTTAGAAATAGGAAATTAAATGGGATTTTTGACTGATGAGAATAATTTATTTCTAGATCGCGTTGAGCTCCATTCGTAACATGCAGCCCAGTTCCTGCGCCTCCAACCGGTACAGTCCGTTCTCCAGGGAGACCCCGCGTCGTTCCCCGGCAGCTCTGAAGAACGATTCTCTCCGCTTAATCGAGTCTTCGGTGTTTACCTTGACACCTAGAGAGTCCCCTGAATTGAGCCCAAGTGTTTCCAATGTGACACTGCCAGCAACATCAACGAGTATTTCCATTCCACCAAATGAAGTAAAATTCGCGGAATTGAAACTGAACCTGCAGCAATCAGAAAAAGCGAAACTAGAAATCGTTCAAATGACATCAGCCCCAGCGATTCCTTCCGTAGAGAAGACGCCTTCACCAACACTGAAAAGAATTATTCGAAACGGGATGGAGTACATTATGCTGCCAATCAATTTATTACAATTTTGCTTGTGGGGTGATGCCACAGGAGCCGTCATCCCTCCGATAAACTTCAAAAAACGAGTTTCTCAATCTGAAACACCCCCAAACCCGCCTCCCCATCACATTTCTCTTCCCCAAACCCCCGCATCCCCTAAACCTTCCACAATAACTTCCTCAACCTTTCCCTCGATCCCCCCGTCTCCCCAACGCCTCCCGCGCCCGCACTTCGATTCCTCGAGCGACGATTCCGACAGCATGGTGACAGCGGACGAGTCCGACCAGTCGTCCTCCAGCCGCTGGACGACCGCCTCCAGCGCGACTCCCTTCATAAGCATGTCCGTCGACTTCTCCAACAACAACTCCGCGAAGCACACCAACCTGAACGTCACCGAGGAGCCCATGGAGATCGCCCTGGAAGACTCCCCCTACCAAATGAAGTCGCCCCCGCGCGAGAAGAGGGTCCCCCCCAGAGCTCGCTTGTCCCCCCCGCACCAGAGGGGCACCGTCATCCAGCGCGACGCAATCGACTACTCC